AAACCATTTCCAACCAAATAGGAACAATTTCGCATCAGTCTTCGAAAATAATAATTACAACTTGTTTTATTTTAGCTTAGTATTCGCCAGATATGAATTTACGAAATTATTGAATATTTTATTTAATTTCAATGTATTAATTTACCTTTCCAGTTTAATGAAATAAACAAGGATTTTCATTTCATTTAATTTTCATTTCGTTAAAATTTTACACCCCCAAAGATTAAAGGGAAAAAATTCTTACAAATCCATTTTAACTAAAAAAAATTGTGTTTGTTAAAATCAAATAACATTAGGTATGCTGTGCATGAAGAAAAGTGATTTTCTTTTCAGCTTTTCACAAAGTTCTTTCAGCAGAAATTTATGAAAATAGAAACCATTAAAAGTTTTCTATATACTTTTGAATTTGTTCATAAAAAAAAATGTTCTTAAATGTAAATAAAGAGAAAATTAAATAAAAAAATATTGTTGCTGATAAAAATAATTCTATTTTTTTTTAAGTAGCGATTAAATATACAATATCTTTTAATGCAAATCATTACAATTTGAAAAACATTTGTTCATTTCCGTTGAATCGAACTAATTAAATGAATTTTAAATCCTTCTGAAATGTATTTTCCGTCTTAATTTTAGTACAAGGGTGCTCCATATTTTATGTCGGTACGTAAGCATTGAATAACTTTGAGGAAAAACAACTGATTTCTATAAGCGATGAATTTTTATTCAGCTTGGTTCCTTACAATTTTTTTGGACTAGTTTTTGAAAACAATATCCATCAAATGGCTACTATTATTAGCAATTTAAAAATGACTCCTTTTTTCTGCGTTTGCCATTACCTTTCCGAGCATCTCGGGTGTTATAGCGTTGATTTCAGCGCGAATGTTTGCCTTGAGCTCATCAATAGTTTGAGGCTAGTTGGCGTAAACCTTGCTTATCAGGGAACTCCACAAAAAAAAATTCCGGGGGGTGAAATCATGTAATCTGTCAGATGGTCGCGAAATTTATTCCGATATGCGCGTTGAGTTAACACAATGGAACGACTGTTTTCGATGTAAAGTGTCTTTATTTCAGTGCGTTGTTTCGGTATGAAGTGGTCCATGGCGAAAATCGTACTGAATTGACATTTCGAAATCATTGCAATTGCTCGGTTGGTAAATGTGAAAGTTGGGAGGTTAACTTTTGTTTTGTTTGATTTTATTTCATCATTTTTTATTGTTATATTCTACCAATTCTTCAATTCTTTTTTAAAACATACATTAAAAGATGTGAGCGAACAATATATTTCACCTATTTTCCAAACTTGGAATATTATTTTTATTCAAATATGTGATAAATGAAAAATTATCTGAACCGCCCTCCTTGGGTAAGAATTGTTTTCCAACTTTTAATGATATCGTTCAGATTCGTACTTCGTGGTAAAGAGATATGCTATCTTATGTTGAAACCAATCAAGCATCCTACTCGTCTCACCAACCTCTTTCCCCTCAGACTAAGCATTTTTCAGCAATTGGGACTAATTTGAGAGTATTTTTGATCCAATAAAAAATAAAAATATATCAAACTCGGAATATTCTGTAAAAAGTTATGCCTAGTCGCATGTAAAAATATGTACATGAACTATGGAAACCTTCTCTTAATAAATCCATTTGTGGCTTTGCGTCTATGTTTTTCCAACATATGGAGGGACCTACAGCTTGTACTAAGCCGCCTCCGAAGGGCTGATGTATGAGGAGTTTTATTTCCTTTCGGAAATACATTTGAAAGGCTGGACATTCCTTGCCTAGGGCCGACCGGCATTAGAAAAATTTTGCTGAGTTTTTTATTTAAATAAATTTTCTATGACTTTTTGGATCTTGGTCTCACCAGGATATGAAGTCGGGCCTTCGGAATGGCAGTATGTAATGCTAACCACACGGCTACCGCGGCATACCATCTTCGGACCAGTGAAAGTGAGATAAGTTTTCCAATACATGCCTCAACATCAACCGCAATTTAAGAAATAAATAACAGTGTATATTTAATTTTTTGTATTTCAAACATTAAAATAAGAATTTTTATTAAATTTTAACTAGTTTTAGAGTTAATCATTATCATTACTTACAGCTTTTTTTCTTTATTTCTTCTCAGCAGCTATTATTTGAATTTATTTCATATGTACGAGTATATGTATGTTTTTATGTATCGAACATACACATACTAATTTATATAAGATATACATATTTATAGTATTTACTTCTTACTTAACTAGACACATGACTTGCATGTGAGTTGTTGGTTCTTTTTGTTTTTACTTTCTACATTACATATGTAAAAAAAAAAAATTAAAAACAATAATAAAAAGAGTTAAACGACAATCACATAGTGCAAGCCGTACATGTATGCATTGATTGATACGTACACGTATTACGTAACGGCAACGCTGCTCGTTGTTACGGCGCTTATCGTATTATATATAATAATATTAACAATGCAAATTTGCTTTATGAATTTTTAGTTTTTTATTAGCGCTTTTTTATTTAAACATATTTATTTTTACTTACATGCTGAGTTTGGAAATTGTGTATGTGTGTGTGCTTAGGTATCATATATGTATTTATATGGTATGGATTCGTTCATAACTTTTTTTTAATTTATTTCATTTAATTTTTTGTTGTTACTGCATTTAGCTAAGCTTTCGTGAAAAAATGTTTAAATAATTTGTAATATTATTGTAAATAATTTTATATACATATACATACATTTTTTTATTATTATTATATTTTTTTTTATTTTTTTGGCTTTTTTTCGGATTTGTTTTTTTTTTACTAATTACTTTTTTTTAAGGTATTTTTTAGTTTGTATTTAAGTTCAGCACATGCTTTTGTTGCTTTCCACGCACATATTATATTTTAGGTGTCACTATCATTTTTTTTTATATATTTACTTTATTTTATACATATGTATATATGTATAAATAGTGTTTGGAAAAACTGTTAGAGTTAACTGTTTCTAGCAATTTTGTGTTAATTTACATTATTGTAGGCATTTCTGGATTTATTTTACATGCACGTACATATACTTAATAATTGTGTACAATAGGGACGCCCTTAATTTTCTATTTACAATTTTTTTAGCTTTACATATTCATGTACGTATTTACATTATTTTATAGTGGTGTTGAGTTTAAGCAAATATTAGGAAAATCAAAATTCTATTTTTTAGTTTCTTTGCAAATAAAAAACAATATTAAAAAAAATATATTGAAATTATGAAATTTTATGAAATCATATGAACGGCGATAAAGAAGTTAAGCTTAATTTGTGGCAAATATTTTTTAATGCCGGTATGACCATGAGGACATGAAATTATTGATTAATTTTACTTAAAATTGCAAACTTGAAAAGGTAACATTTTTCGAAATTTCCTGGTCTTTTCTATTTTCAAAATCTGAGCAACGTGTCTACCATTTGGCGCGAAATTTGGTTTAAAAAAAGGCCAAAACTATAGTTTTTTAGGTAAAAATTAAAGAAAAAACTCGTAATATTTTTATACATTGCAGCTTTATGAAATATTCCAATTACGAAAAAAATCTTTCAAATTCTTAAGAAAGTAATAATCCAAGTAATTCGTAAATTATCTATATTTACGTTTTATTCAATTATTTTCCAGCTTCCCGAATTTCTTTTTCGCACCAAAAGTGTGAAATTGTAAAAATTTAAAATTTTATATAAAGAAGTTGCAACCATGTATGTATGTATTTCGTTAAATCAAATTTTTCTAGCACTTTCTTCGCTAATTTGAAACCTCCCAGAGGTAAACATCAGTCACGGTATTTCCAAAATGTGAACGTTTTATTTGATATATTGGCTAATATTATTATTTAGAAATTGTGTGCTTTTTGCATATTTTTTGTAACCTTAAAATTGCAAATGAGCCTGTGATCCATTAGTTTATTGGAAGAAATAAAGTTTTCATTAAAAAAAACCTTTAATTTCATTTTTGTACATATTTATTTTGCAATTAGAAAAAAAAAACTAAGGACAACCCTAATGCATGCATAAACATATATTACATAAATTATGTGACGTTTTAAAACTGCAATAAAAAGCGCGCCGAACTAAAATCATAATTAAACTTAAATTTAGTATTAATTTTATTTAGTAAAAATTTTCTGAAGATTCATGGTAAATTTTTCATATTTTCTCCTCTTTTTTTGTTTTTGATCATCTCAATTCGAATTTGGTTTCAAGCGTTACATCGACTCGCGATCACGCAAAATTTTCATTATAATAAAAAAAACATTGAAAATATCTATATTTAATTTTTTTTTTTTTTAAGTTTTTTTTATTTATTAATTTTTTTTGTATAAAATTACATCAATTGCACTTGCATTTGTGTTAACGCGTACTAACATACATATAATATATATATAACATAGTTTAGTTACGAGCGTATAACGGTATAATATTACATAAGAAACATAATATAAATGAATTTTATAATTAAAATGAATATATTTAAAATTATAATTAAAACTAGAACTAAAATATTTTTATGCTTAAAATTGAAATTGAAATTTACATTGCTTAAAATTTATAATTTTTTGTATAAAAACATTAATTATTATTTTTTTTTTTTGCTATTTTAAAAGAAATTTGCGTATAAAATTATTTTGCAAAGATTATTTCTATTTTGCCTTTTTTAAGGCAAAACATACACACATTAGCGTTTACATAAATGGCACAATAACTATGTGTGGGTGAGTTTGTGTGTGTTCAAATGTTGGTACCTGCCAGGCTCTTTAAGATGTTGTGACTTTCTTGAAATGCTTTTATAGCTAACAGTACACATAAACGTACATACATACATACATGGAAACGATAAAAGCTTATGTGTGTACATTTGTATGAGATTGAAATGGGTTTTCTTTAATTTCTGAAACTTTTTTCACTTTCAATATATCAAATATTGTTGAATTGCTAAAATATTTATGAATCAATCATAATTGAAAATTATTGTTGTTTTATTGGAAAACATTTTTTTTTTTTGTTTTTTTGCTTACAACTAAATCACTTTTGATTGCTGCTTACTTGAAGAAGAAATCCAGCTACTGCATGGTACATAAGTATATTATGTAAACATAAGTAAGCATATATTTTATGTAATATAATATAAGCTTCAATTGTACATACATACATATCTACAAGCTCCACAGGAAAAAAGGTTATACTAAAAAATAAGCCGAGTAGGAGAGATTAGTCTTTGAATATATCGGAGCAGAAGACAAAGCGAGATTTGAGACGACGTCGAACGTTAAATGAAACTTCGAGAAACAAATGTAGAATAAAAACGAAAAAATAGTTAAACTAATCTACATATTTACATTGGTTACACATGCGCTGCAGCACACACGCGCCTGCGCCGTTACCACGCCGCCCGGAGGTCACTAAGCGCCCGATTGAATGATCGACGCAAGAGCATAATAGCGGTATACGTAGATAGCGAGACGCGCAAAGTTGGCTTACACTTTTGCCTTTTCGCATCGGAAGAGGTGCCGCAACCCAGCGCCATCTGCTGCCGTTCAACGCACGCACGTCAGCAACTGTACGCTAATTGTTATAGCGAGCGCGTAACGAACTATTTCTCAAACGTGCACCGTCACCGTCTTCTTGTTAGCACTTTTGGTCACACGGCTGACCGGCGTCGGCGTCAGGATGCGCAACAAAGCCGCGCTTTGTGTTTCGCTTTAAGCCCGCGTGAACTATAGCAAATTCTGTAGTGCCGCCGCGCCGTTCAATGCTAGCCCGTGATTCCAGTTGCGATAGTTGGCCGCCGCCGCGTATTGTTGGTAATTACTGTACAATTGTTGTTGTTGTTGCTGCGCTGCCTGCTGTAGCTGCAACTGCTGCTCCTCATTCAGATCGCTGGTGATATTCGAGGCGTCATCTTGCAGCTCGGGTGGCGTCAATTGACTTTGCAACAATTGTTGCTGTTGTGCGCTGAGCTTGTGTGAGCCGGGCGTGCTGCTGCTACTGCTGACGCTGGCGCTGTGTTGTTGTTGCTGTTGTTGATAATGTTGCTGCATTGACTTAAGATAGGCTTTACGTTGCTGTTGCTGCATCAGCTGTTGATGATGGTGATGATGATGATGCGCCGCAACGCTGGCATGATGCGGATGCGCATGATGATGCGGTTGGAGGTGGTGGGGGTGATGATGTTGATGATCCAGTGTGTGTGTGGCATCGTGTGTATTCCCATTGCTGTTGCTTGTGCCGCTGCCGGCGCTACTGCTGCCGATATTGCCACCGAGATTGCTCTGATGCAGCGTATTGAGACCGGCAGCTGCCGCTGCAGCTGCGGCGGCACTACCAAAGATGCTGCTACTACCACTGGCGGCATTCACATTCACGTTGCGCAGCATCTGGTCAGCTCGCCCTTAAGCCAATGGGTACTGGTGATGTCACAAGCTTGTCGTGCCGGCTGGCGCATGGTAGCCGAGACTTTGATAGTACGAATCCTGTCCTAAGGCCGCGTGTGAGTTCGTCAATGGGCTGAGCGCATTGTAACCGGGATACTGACTCATATCATACATCTTGATGTCCGCTTTGGACTCGGGTAGCAGCCGATTGATCGAGAATGGGTGGCTGGATGGCGTATATCCGGATGGTTCCTGTTTGAGATGATGCATGGAGGAGTGATAGTCGCTGATCAATGATGGATGGCATCTATTCACCATAACCGACAGCTCTTCGTGCTGCAGCTGGTGATGTTGCTGATGATGATGGCTGGGCGCGTGTTGTGCTGCCTGTTGACCCAGACAAAGTTCAGCATTTGCCTGCATTAGGGCGAGTTGATCACGGCTCACACTGCTGCCAAGCACAGCGCCACCAACTGCTGCGCTCGTCACATCTTTGCTGTGATGATGCTGCTGGTGATTATCCAAACGGCTGTGATGATGATGTAGGTGATGTGAATCTTCGTGATCCTTCTTACCGGGACTTGTCGCCTCTAGGCTGCTGTGCGACGGACTCTTATGCAGCTGTCGCAGCGCCTCCTTCTTCTCATCTTTAAAACGTTTCTGCCGACGCAAGTAACATCCATTCTCAAACATATTGCCCGAGTCTGGGTGCAGCGTCCAGAAGGAGCCCTTCCCCGGCTTGTCCGGCGTGCGCGGTATCTTCACAAAACAATCGTTGAATGACAACGAATGGCGTATGGAGTTTTGCCAACGCTGCTGATTCTGACGATAGAATGGAAAGAGGTCCATGATAAACTGATAGATTTCCGACAATGTGAGCATGCGTGTCGGATTATTCTGTATCGCCATTGTTATCAGCGAGATGTACGAGTAGGGCGGCTTGGCATGTGTATAACTACGGCGATACGTTGTGGGCTTATCAATGCGTGCACGATTTAACGAGTTCGGTGAGCCAGTGTCCAATTCACGTGCACTAGCCGCTGCCGCCATGGAGGAGTAGCCACCCATAGCTGCCATTGTCGACATGCCGCCACCCATGCAATTGCCCATATTGCCCAAGGGCGAACCCATTGAGGCGTAACTCATAGAACTGGGTGTCATGCAATTGCCCGCCATCGAATTCATAGCAGCTGCTGCGCCCATGCTACCGCTCATGCTGGCCACAGCCGCCGCGGACTCCAAAGCACCGAAAGCGGCAGTTTGTGGTGAAACTGAAGACATGCCACCTACTGGCATGGCCATGGAATTCATGGCGGTATATGCGCTGCGTGCTAGCGGACTCATGGTACCGCCATTGCTGGTCGGATGGCTGGGATGTGGATGTGTAGGATTGCCACCATTTCCGCTGCTGCCGCCACCACCTCCCACACCGCCGCCGCCACCTCCACCACCTGTGTTTGCGCCACCACCGCCGCTTGAACCACCGCCGCTACCAGCGCCGACGCTACTGCTCATACTCACCGGCGGCCCGCTGCTGGGCGCCTCCGAGTAGAGCTTTTGCATTATGTCGATCGTCGTCTGGTGGGGCGATCCCTTCAGGAAACTGTTCAATAATTGCGCCGTTATGTTGGCGGCTGTTCACTGGTCGCGTAGAGGAAATGAGGGAAATTCCGAATTTCCGACGGTTTTTTACGCCACGTACACGCTCTGTAGCACGCAAGATAGATCGGCACTTAAGTTGTTTCGTTCAAAGACCTTAATTTTCAATTGAAACGATAGTTTTTAATTTGAATTTTTTTATTTATTTATTTTTCAATTTTTTGTTAAATTCACATTTTTCATCCGCACTCCGTTGTTCGGCGTGCTTTAATGTCAAAATTTTTACACGCTTTGCAAAATGGGTTGTTGTTGTTGTTGCTGTTGCAAAGCGCATGCACCGGGCTTGCAGCAACTGTTTAAGGTTTTGATTCAGCAAATCAGCAAAAAGTGTCAAATTCTAAGTTTCCTCGATTCAAGACGTGAGAAAATCAATCGCATAACCAAGCTTCTGGTGATGCTCCTGCTTCTTCTTTTTTGTTTCTTCTTTTGCCCTTTTCACTTCAATACACTTTGCTCGTTTTTTGTTTCTCTTTTGTTTTTGTTTGCTTTGCCACTTCTACAACTTCTTCCTTTTCATACTTTTTTTCTTTCTTAATTTTTTTTTTTTGAACTCTTTTTTATTGTAAAATTATTTGTTGTAATTTCTTTTCAATTTCGCGTTGCATCAATTCGTTAAATATAATAAAATATTTTCGATTTCGCCGTCACGAGTTTTCCGTTTGTGGTGTTTGAACACAGAAACTCACTGGTTGGAGCTGGGACTGAGACCGCGTTCATCGGTACACTCGGTTGGTATTGTTTTCAGTTTGTGCGTACGTTCCGTTAACCGCGTTAGCCGTACACTAGGCAGCTAGACAATGCATCTAGCAAACAAAAGTTCCCGGAAAATCGTTATAGAATTATCTTATCGGTAAGACCAAAAGCAGAAGCGTTTTTCCTTAAAACTTGACTCAGACACCACTGTTCTACTCGGTTATCGGTTGTCCGTTTCTACTACTTTTTCGATCGGCAGCTGTGCGCGTTCGAGTACTCTTTGGCTTGAGCTCTTGAATGTGACTGTTTGCAGAGGGGAATGCCTGCTTACTATTTGGCTTACTAACAAAAATATTCAGCGACGTCGACTACGCACAATGAAGGTAGCAGCAGCAGCAGCATACATCGAGAGGCAGCCACACCACAATACAACGCTAGAAACCAATACAAACCAACGGTGGCAGAGGTAACAGCGAGCACGAAAGCTAAAGCATGTACCCACACCTGCCAGCCGGAGCCAACGAGGCACAGCACAGCGTACGTGAGAATGTGTGTGTGTGTGTGTGTGTGTAGCATTTTGGTGGTTGGCAAAACTGGCTCTGTACACGCTTAGACCCGTTTGAGGCTTACTGAATGCATGCGCTGAGCCAAATGTGTGCATGTGTGTGCGTGTGCGCTGCCATTAGTCTGTCCCACCCTTTTAGATTTGAGCGCACCGCAAGAGCGCTGATAAAACAGAGCCATGTCGCTGAACGTGTAAGCGAGTTGACTACAGTACGTGAGCAGCGTTGCCTTAAGTGGCTCTCTTGCGTACACACAACGCCGTGCAGACGCAAATAGACGTACACCAACACCTGGGCATTTTCATTTTCTCCCCTGAAGTGTGTGTGTGTGACTGTGTATGTTGCTGCGTGGTCGCCATATGCGTTGCCTGCAAACAACGCAAACAGCGCACGCGTATTGGCTGCTACTTGTTGTTGTAATATGAGTTCATTTTCCCAACTAGCTGGTTGGTGCAGCCGCTCTGTAGTGTTGTTGTTGCAGCGCGTCAGCTCAAAATGCAGTTTTCTATCTGTGGCTTATCGGTTGCCAAGACAACGCGAGTGGGTGGAGCCACAGAGACTGGCACGCCCACGGCTGAAGTGCAGCGCCTACACATACTATCGTGTAATCACATTCCACATACACACTAAGGCTCATCCACACGTACTTACGTATCGTATCGTATGCATGTATCTCTTTACTTCCAATTATGTGCTCTCTGACAGTTTGACGTTTTCCATGCTGTCAAGTTAGACGACAGCACGCTGCAGCAGCACAACGTATTTGACCCCAACGCACCGTCCTCAAGAGCCGTACCCATTTTCTTGCCTCCACCGCCACCTTCTATGGCGCTACGACGTCGCCCGGTCGCGCTGCTAGGGAATGCTTGTTAGAAAATTGTCGATTTATTGCCGTCTTTGCCGGCACCAACGTTTTATTGCACCTACAGTCTACGCCGCGGCAATCAATATATTTTTGCTTCTCTCTTAGAGCCAACATTCGCACCTTTCCATCGTTACACACCCTAAATTCCGTTCGGCCCGTTTTTACCTTTCGATATTCGAACGCTTTTACCTTTTCTTTGATTTCGATTACGGCCTGCTGTCGTACAGTTTTGCCGGGAAGACGAGTCGTGCGAGTGCGTTTCATTAGCACTGCGGCTGTGTCGTTTGTCGTTGACAATAAAAACTGCAAAAGCCCACACCGCGTCGTAGCGGCGCCGCTGTTTATTTAGAGCAGAGAAGAGAAACGCGGCGCGTTAGCAAGGCAGGCGGTGGGCGTAAGGGGTGAAGGGTGAAGGGCAGCGAGGTTTTCGTGCGCGCTTCAAAGGCGTGCTAATGATTTTCGACAGACAACATACAGTCGCAGTAGCAGCCGCGGTAGAAGCGGCGGCAGCAGAAGCTAACAACACTAAAGCTGCACAGTAACAACAACAATTCATAAATAAAACAAGCAACAACGCGAGCATTTGATTTGAATTGAAAATTTGTATGAGACACATTTTCTGTTGCTGCCACCGAATCTGTCCAGCCGTCCACGGCTGTTGTTGTTGTTTAGTATAATATTTCCCATTTCAATATATCTCGTGCGCTTTATAGTCACTCTTCTTCTGCTTTTTCTTATGGTGACGCTGCTGACTTGCTGTTGTTGTTGTTGTATATTGCTCTGTTTTTTGTATTTTCGTTATTGTTTTTGTTTTTCTCTACTTCTTCTTCTTCTTCTTCTTCATTTTTCAATAGTGAATTTTTAATGCATGCGGCAATCCGTCGCCTTGTGTTCAAAATTTTCGAACTGGAATGTTTGCCATTTTTGAGGTTAAGGTGGGCTCTACCAATGTCACAGTCGTTGGCGTAAGAACAAACGGCGTGACGCTTATAACGCAGCAACACATATTTGATACGCGACGCGGTTTGTCGCATCAATACGTCTGACGACTTGCACTTAATAAATAACCGTTTGCATTTTGTTTGTGGCAACAAAAATTGTTTAAAAATTATTTTCAAAAAAAAAAAAACAAAAGGAAAAAACGTAGGAAGAAGAAAGAAAAAATATTTTTCAAACGCGTTCGTTATCAACAATTTCGATTGCAGTTGCAGTGACTTTTGTGTGTTTGTTGTTGTCGATTTTTCATTGTTGCTGCTGATGGTGCTGTGGTTATTGTTGTTGTTGTTGTGAAAAGTTTTTCTTATTATAATAAAAATGTTTTTAAATTTTTCAATTGCTCTTTCTTCATGAAATTGTGTCAAAGGAAGAAATAAATTCAAAACAATATATGTATGTATGTGTGGACATGTGTAAATGTTGCAGGCAAAGAGATACATTTGAGAATATACACACATACATAGATACGCGCGTATAAAAATAGGAACTTAAATTCTGCATACAAGAAAATTTTGCCTGAATTTTTTTTGGAAAAATTTAATTTTATTTTCATTGGAATTAATTATTATTTTTTCGATGCTGTTAAAATAAATAGTAAAAATATGTATGTATGTATATCCATATGCACTAATCATAATTACCAAATTTGCTTATAATTCTTGAGAAGTACGTTGTAAAAATATTTCGCAGTTCAGCACAAGAACCGATTCTGATGGATACATTTCCACCTTAAAGAGCCAAAGTGAGTGTCGCCAGACGGGGTTTGGGTGTAGTTGGAATTTTCAAAAAATTTGTATATTCAAATCATAAATTGATTTCCAAAAAATTTGCAAAAAGTGAGTTCGAAAAACTTTTCGGACAAATTTTTGACAATTCTGATTGCGCCTTGAATACGCAAATTAAGCTTTAAATTAGTTTTTTTTTCAAATTATGGTTTTAGAAGTGGTTACGTTGGAAACCGTGTGGTGCATTACAAAAAAAAGTTTATTCAACTTTTGGCATACAGAACGAACTAGTGACTGATGAAATATATTTTTTTTAACCTAAAATCTGTATCAAACTTTCCGGTGGTCCATCTTCCGGTTCGCAACTTAGGCTTATCTCATATGAACTTCTTGATGCATCAAATATTAACCAAAAAGCTTACGAAACATTTCAGTTGAAGCTTGAAGAAAATTGGAAGATAGTAAAAATATACTTTCAAACTGTTTCCCAAGCTTATTCGTTATCGGTTAAAAGAACTTGCCTGAGTACTCATTCTGCATGCTGGCAGGACAATATTGTTGCTGCAGCTTAAAGCGTGTTCGGCAAGCCTTTAATATCAACTCGACACCATTCGCAGGATAATATATCTTTCGCGTATTCCTTTGCGATGCATTTTGTATAAAGACCTCAAAGTGAAGGCTTATAAGGTTCAATTATTCCGAGAACTGAAGTCTCAACACAAACGATCGATGCGATTTCGCTTCAAAAAACACAGAAGCTCTCTTCACAGAAGATCAGCAAATTTACCAAAAATTTATCTCTTCTGATGAGGCTCACTCTCAGCACGCCAGCCGTGTTAACATGAAAAGCCTACACGTAACCAGGGAAAAGCCAAATGCATCATCAAAGGGTGACTATTTTGTGCGGCACGCGAACCATTTTTTTTTTTTTATTGAAAAAGCGGAAGTAGCTCCGTTACCGTCGATGACGATATTTACCTTGTCATTGTTGCTTTGTTGAAGTGGTTGACGGGCATATGTTCAAGTTCATCTAGGCCCTAAACGGGCTCATTGTGATACCACTGAGGGTGCTAATGATCCCCAATGGCTAATCAAACCAATGTGAGGAGTTTGCAAAACGGAGCCACTAGAGGCTTCAACTTACTAGTCCCAAGTGCGAGGCGTTCGCAGGTTCTTCTTCTTGAGGGTCCTCTATGACGCTATGTCTGAATTTGGTAACTCTGCAAAAATTATATGGACGTGCAAACTGATATTGACAACCCCAGAAGCGCAGTCAAAATTGAGAAGCACCCCTCCGAATCGTGCGGTATTATACAAGGTTTCAGACAGGATGGCTCTTTATCGTATGACTTCTTCAACTTAGAACCGCAGAGCTTAATAAGCATGGCACAGTCTTTTACAAGAGTATACAAGTGCTAGCTTCACAAGCAGCTCTACAACCGCACCGTTAGTTCATAATAAAAAAATAGTTGTCGGCTCTACTCTCACGTCCCTCCTGACAGTCATAACTTTGAAGTATTGGAATCAGTATTAACACCGACAGTAATGTCAGCCTTGAAATGCAAAGCGGAATAACTCCTGCCAACAGCTGCTATCTTGGACTAAATAGGCAATTGAAAAGTTAAGTCCTCTCTCGACGACCGAAGGCCACACTCTACGAGTCGCTCATCAACCCCGTCCTAC